ACGAAAATATCATTATAGAAAAGTGAGGATCCAAGATCAGTCAAATGCATTCTGCTCAATCGTCTTTGAATGTACTTCTTAACATAGAACTCTAAAGGGTGTTCTGAAGTAATAGTACAAAGATTGCTTGCAGACACGAACGGACAGCGATTCACCGACCGAAGACCTACGCGAAATTTTTGTTGCAGTATTTGTTTTTAGGTTTCTGGAAGTAGCGGAAAAAACGGAAATAACCATGCAAAATGTGGAAAGGCATATGCAAAGAAGCATTGACGAAGTGCTTTAGACGACATACTCCGTCCAGCTTTCAACCACCTTAGTTTACCTAAGGATCTCTGGATATTTCCAATGCACTTTTCGACTGTGGGTTTCAAAGATAGTTTATCAGTCCATGTAAATCCTAAGTATTTAAATTCTTTTACTAATTCAATTTTTCTTCCATTCATTGTTATATTTACTAATGGTCTTTTCACTTGTATATGAAACAACTGCGCCACTGTTTTCGATACATTTATCGGCTGTTTCCATTTTTTTGAATATTCATACACTTGATTACAGATTCGTGTACCTTCTTTCTCTAGATATTGGATCATCGGAGTTAAATTCTTCATAATAGGTGGTCTAATGAGTACACCAAGAGCATCTGCAAAAAGATGACTTGAATGGGCTCCTAGACAGTTGATTAAATCACAGTGGAACACAATAAACAAGTATGGACTAAGACTACTACCTCGAGGAAGCCCTATGTTTATATCGAATATTTTCGATGTTTTTTCTCCAAAAACTACGTAAGCTTTTCTATCTTTTAACCAGCTATCGATTATTTTCAGTAGATCGAGCGACATACCCAATCTCCACAATTTAATTAAGAGAGCGGCATGCCAGACTCGATCATATGCTTTCTGATAGTCAACATAGATGGCAAGTGTTGGTAAATTAGCTGCCATATTGTTCTTCACTTCCTGATATATCGATAATACTCTCGTAGGAAGAAGATAATTTGGTCGAAATCCTGATTGTTCTTCAGGGACTGAATGATTAGTTTCAGCCCAATGTCTAATTTTTTGAAGCAGAACTTTTTCAAAAAGTTTTGAATGTGTGGCTAACAAAGAGATTGGACGGGTTTGATCACATTTAGGAATACTTGATTTCAGTTTATTTAAAGTTACTATCTTTGCTAGTTTCCACTTATCAGGATATCTACATTCACTCAGCCAGATATTAAAACATTTTGCCAAGCAATCAATATAGCACAGAGGAAGTTTTTTAATCATGAAATTCGAAACTAAATCATAACCTGCCGACTTTTTCGGTTTCAATGTCTTTATTAGTCGACTAATTTCAACGGCACTAGTTTCTTTCACCCGTTCGTCTGTGATCAATAACTTATTCAATAGTTCGTTATACTCAGATTCTATCATAATATCATGCACATTGGAGTAATCTAGCAAAGGTGTTCTAAATCGTTCACTATAATGCTTACTTAATTCATCTGTAATTTCTTGATGTGTTAAAAGCACTTTATTTTTTGCTGCTAGTTTGTAGAAAGGTACAGACCGTGATTTGTAGATGCGAGACATATATGTCTAAAACGCTTTATCGGATTTATCGTGTGTTGCTTGGATATCCGATAAGAAGCTGTGACATCGATTAGCTTTATATTTTCCAATCGCAGCTTTTGATTCTCTTGTCAAGACACGCAACAATACTCTTGTTTCTCCACACAGAATTCCTTTTTGTCTAAGGTGATAGTATTTATTCCTCACTTTCCTTATTTCTTTTAATTTCTCGACAATACTACTTGGTAATGACAGTCTGTATTTTTCTTTTTCTTTCCAATGCGTCACTCTGTTTTTAACAGCAGCAATAAAGTGAATGTATTCTTTATACCACTCATCAGCACAATTTTTTTCTTTTGTTCTTCTACCCAGAATGTTTGAAGTAATACTAATACAGCTTCAAACGCCTTCCAATTCGTATGAGAGAAAATATTGCTAGTATCGAAGGAAATATTCTCACACGAGAGTACAGTCGGGCAGTGATCACTTGTACCGAACTGCAATGTTTCACTTGAAATATCAATGCTGTTTGAGAATGATAGATCTATGTTACGTTGGGAGCGTTTTGATGTGTGAGAAGTCGATGGTATGTAATTGAGGTTGTTCTCTTCAATCCATTCTTTCACATGCACACCTCTCTTATCTGTTAATGGACTATTCCATTCCTTCACTGTAGCGTTAAAATCACCCGTTAGAATGATGCCTTCTACTACATAGGAAAGAATATCATCAAGATCACGCTGTTGACTAGTGGGCCAATAAATACCAATAATACGTACTGGTTCTGAGAGGCCTGTTATATCGATGATAACTGTATTTGGAATGTTAACATCGATGCGCATTGCTTTCAGATGTTTTCCTACTGCTATGCATACTCCTCCATTTCGATTGGTACCCTTTTGATAAAACTTGTTAAAATGTGGTAACTGGCATGTGTTCCATCGTTCTCCTACTTCTGTAAAAACACAAATAGATGCTTGTACTTCGTACACTAAATCAACTACTTCAAGTGCTCGTGTATACCACCCTTGGACATTATAACATAAAATTTTTAAATTCTCCTGTTGATTACTGGATGGAGCTAGACCAAAACTTTCCCACTGTTGTAAAACTGAATTCAATGTTCTACTTGTATACCACTCGTCTAAAAGCGAAGATACTATCTGTTGGTCTTTTGTTGAAAAATTCCATATTCTTAGTCGGTGTATCGCTTGTTCTTTAGGACTAGGCAATTGTTCTATAAGCATGGAGGGAAAAATACTTTAGCATGAACATTTAGACTAGACATTCTACTTAATGAGTTGTATGTTCGATAAAATTGGCATATTTGAAGTTGATTCAGCAGTTGTAACCGATGAGATGTTACGATTGACGGCGTGAACGAGACCTGACGATTAAGTTGAAATCCATCATTTAATCTAATAGAGGCTGAATGAGAGCGATTGAAAAACTGTTGTGCGACTGGCATCAAGGACATTCTCTCATGTCTACTAGCCGTAAGCAATGGTGGTATAAATTGCTGAATAGAATCTTTCATAGTATCAATGCTATCGAGTAATACTGCTTGATGTAACTGTATATCGAGTGTAACAGTCTTCAAATCGGCTTTTAATTGATCAACTTTGTCTTCTACTCGTTTATTACTGTCTATCAATTTCGACAACTTATTATTAATGTCCTCTAATGATTTTTCTGGTTGGCATGTTGTACGATCTTGTTCGACATTCCATTTTCTAGACTGATGGTTATCGACTGTTTTTAATGTTGGAAAATCTTGTTCATTCATTTCAAATGAGGGAGCTTGTTTTTGTGTACTCAAAAAGTGAGTACACTCTAGAATCGGTCAGTGTGTCCGGCCGTCCGTCCGGCCGTCCGGCCGTTAACACGATAACTTTTGAAAGGAGAGTCCGATCACGATGAAATTTTCTACACAGTTCAGTCTTTACAATATCTCGGTCGAGTTCGAAGATGAGAAGGATCGGCCGAGCCGTTCCTGAGTTATTGCAAAAATACCCATTTTTCCCTATAGCTTCCTATGGAAAAATTGATCCATCGCCGCTTTCGTAAAAGACTTTTCCTATCATAGTCAACTAAAACCCCAACTATTATATACCATTCGATAGAGAATTTCAAGAGCTACAAAATGATATATAAAACATGAGGAAACAGGAAGATTATCTCACCCATCGCAAAGATAAATAGGGAAAAATCGGTTATGCTTTTGTGCACGCTCTAATTGATCACCAATTAGAGCTCTATCTTCCCATCATAGAGATGATAGTTCGAGGTTTTCTAGAATGGAGAACTCGAATCTATGTTCCATTCGCCTCGAAATCCCATTGGTTGAGCAGTGACCAATAGAAATCAAGTTATAGGAAAAACGAGTTTCTTACGGTNGATAAAGAAAGATTTTATTTAGTGTTAATATAAACACTAATATAACAATGTAATATATTTAATAATGGAAAAGAGGAAAAAGATAGGAAAAACAATAGGATAGAATATCAGATATGTGTATCACCGGTAAAGAGAAAAACAACAACTGAACAGAGAAAAACATATATATAGATAAATAGTGGAAAGTCCAATGGAAATACATATATGGACCATAGAAAAGAAGGAGGAAAATCACTATATAACAACTGGACAGTTAGCGGTAATAGAGTGACCTCTATTGACGCTAACACACACCCACAAAAGAAAAGATGCAGTGCATGAAATACCCTAATCTTTCAGTTTTCAGCGCAAGCAGATGTGGTATTTTAAAATTAAGATTTGGTTCTATTCCTAAAATATAATTATAGATTGTGATATGATTCGTTTTCTGTAGAAGAAACTAAACTAACTGCAACGTAGCGCTGAGTCATGCTCGCGAAAGAACAGAAAAAAAATGTGATTTTGTATCAGATTTTATACGACGTGGCATACTTCTTGTAGAACGAGCGAAGCAACGACAAGTAAACTGTAGAAAATAAACATTCTAACGCTCACAACATCAACAAGTGACCTTTGATCGTGAGTAAATGCGAGTATGCTTCTTTTTCTAATCTCTACTAGAATAAGTTGTAGCAAGAGGGAAAAAACGGATTCCATCTATCCGGAATACGGTGAGGATCCAAAGGATACGGTGGAGATACAGAGGATACCTGTGAGACACATAAGATAATATTCGATGCAGTCAACAACATCCACATTATATAGGATAAATCAAGGAGAGAAAGCTGAGTTTTTTAGATTCACTCACTTCTATATCAAATATGTTAAAAAACTCAAAAAATCTCAAAACACTAAATTTTCAATCAAAGGAGACGTGTCAGAGTATGGATTTAGTGTCGCAAAAAATCTGAACCTAATTTTATTATCCTAAGAATCAACATTCATCCCTGATCATTTTTCACATGTTTATTTTATACTTCATAATCATTCATTTTTTAATATCTGGGTAGGGGTGGCACTTTATCTTTACTTTACCAAGTAAAGTCAAGTAAAGTCAAGTAAACTAACTTTACTGCACTTTACTTTACTTTTTTAAAGTAAAATAAAGATAAAGTGCTACCCCTGTACTTGGAGTCCCCCTCAGGCATCGAAAAAAATGAACTTCACCAAAACAACAATTTCCAAATGTAGACATCTCTGATTTTGTCCTCACATGGAATTATACAAGTTTGGAATTGCGTTTTCGTATACAAAACGAATTTTCTGTGAAGTTTATTTTTTTCAAAATCCCTGAGGGAGAGCTAAGCTGAAAAATTTACACTAAAAAATAAGTCTTACAAACCAATTTGAGACACACGTAGGTCAACTCAGTTCTTTTTTGTGCTAATTTCAAGTATGGCTTTTTTTCAAGTCAAACTTATTATCTTCTATTAGAAAGTCATTGTATACTGTCCAAAAGAGATCTCAAGTACAGCAAATATAGCACAAGTGGCTTACTAGACATTGAATTTTAAGTTGAAAATAGCATCATCAGAAAGAGCAAGTTGAATTACATATTCGATAAACAAATTCTGCTGGTGCATCCGTATAAAGTGAAAGCTCATAAAATCAAAATAATCATTATTTGTAGCAATATGACCCGATTGGGGTGGTATTCGGCGATTATCGCTTCGAAAAAATTCGAATGACCTAATCCTTCATGTAAATTCTGATAGAGAAAAAACATCTGCGTCGAATGAACCTATTTTCCTGGATAAGATTTTAATATCGATGGACTTTGAGGTAAAAAACTTGTTTGTAGGGCTTTCAGAAAGTGATTCAGATGTTCCTTATTGTCCGAGAAACTTTCAAAAAATGCAATATTTTTAATCAGCATATTGAACTCTATCAAATGAGAAGTGCTTTCACTAAAACCAAGACAAGAAATGCTTTTCGATTCCTGAGCGGGACCCCAGGTATTAAAAAATGAGTGATTATGAAATATAAAATAAACACGTGAAAAATGATCAGGAATGAATCCTATTCTCAAGATAATTAAATTAGGTGCGAATTTTTCGCGACACTAAATCCATAATCTGACACATCTCTTTTTTAAAAACTCTAAATCACTCAAAAAACTCAGTTTTCAGCTTTTCCCGTTTGGAAAAACAGCGTATACAGGAATCCTCTGTATTCTCAATATATTGCCTTTAACCTCTGTATCCATAGTGCGCCCTCGCCGCATTCTGGATACGAAGATTTCTCACGGATCCCTGTATCCGGGATACGGCGAAGATCCGAAGGATACGGAGGATACAACGGGGATACGGTGATCCAGAGGATACCTGGATCTGCTTTTCCCCCCTTGAGTTGTAGCCAGCCTGTTGTTTTTAAATATCATCTACTGTATACTCTTCATGTTCCCAAGACAATTCATACTTGTCTGGTCTTCTTCCCTATCTCTATTTGAAAAGCAGTGATATGGGAAAAAACCTAGGGGAAAAAAGCGAGACTTCACCGTACTTCACTTGTACTTCCTCTGTACTCACTCGTACTTCATTGTACTTCACTCCATTTTCATTGTTCTACACTTTTACTTTACTCGTATTTCACTGAACTGCGAACACAATTTCGAAGTACTAGTTAAGTACTGTAGTCGCGCTTTTCCCCCTTGCGTCAGTCTATACAAGTAGCAATTGAGGGTCTGGATCTGAATGTGTCATTGTTGGTGTAGGTTGACTCATGTTGGACCCAAACGCACATCCACACTCCGCAACCACAATCACACACCCGTACGCACACACGAATAACCATACTCCCCATACCGACACCCTTCAGATACAACAATTGCAACAACTAGAAATACGAGGAAGTCTGTCTAATTCATTGTTTAAAATCAAAACGAACAAATAATGATGGCGTCTATTTTTCTCACAACAACTCTGACTGTATTTTTTCTAGAAAGAGAGAAGCTAGTAAGTACATGGCAACCGGTGCTCCTATTCTTCTGCGTCGACGAAATTTTCAGTGGTACTGGAATTCAGCTCCAGATCCGTGGTCTGTTAGAGAGGAACAATGGCAAAAGTATACAGACATTGAGAATGAAATTATTGAAGATGGACATAATCAAAAACGGAAAGAAGTAGAAATCGATGGAAATTATGTGATTGACTTAAAGCATCAAGTTCAATATAAAAAAGGGGACTCTCATAAGCAGCGGTCAATTAAACGTGTGCAATTAGATAGAGACCGAAGTAGTCTCCATTTACGTGAAGAACGGTTTTCATTACCCGTGCCACTTGCCACTTCAACACAGGCAATTGATGATAATCGTGATGTTGAAATGGAAATACTTCATGTGAGAATAGGAAGATTAGGACATTTCGCGGCCGTTTACGCAGAGGACCACATTAATAATCAAGGCAAATCACTTGCTGATGTGGTTCAGGAAGCTGCTAATGGTATAATTAAAGAAGGTAGTGCTCTTAATAAAGAAAAAGAGGCACGATGGCTTGCGGCACAATTATTGGCAGTCAAACATTTTGGATTGAATATTGCAACAGATCATATGTTTCGTATTCCAGCGGAAATCGGCGATACCGTTGTGCATATGTACACTTTAGAAACATTTTTATACAAATTAGTTAACAGTCATGGTCGGCATCAATTTTCAGTGACGAATGAAACAGTCAAAACTGTGGGGCCTTTTTGTCTAATATTACAAAGATATTTGTTTCAAATCGAAACCAAGAATTTCTTTACCGTTTATCGTGGTCTCAATTTAACTGACGAGCAACGACAATTATTTATGACTAAGAGATTAGAGTTTACAGCATTCACTTCAACGAGCAAAAATCGTGTTAAAGCTGAACAATTCGGAGACACCCTCCTAGTTATCGATTTAGAGCCAGAACTATCTGATGGTGATACAGCAGAGTATTGTGGCTCAGACATTGCACATCTATCAGATTTTCTGAACGAAGAGGAATTTCTGATACGAACTGGAACATTCTTTAAATTTATTAAACATGAATATAATTCTAAAATGAAAAAACACCTTATTTATCTCAAGTCCATCAATGGATCGAATTTCCTTGCTGCAGATTTTATGTCACGCATGTCTTGATGGTAACTTGTTTTTTGACCTGTTCACGTAACTGTCTACCTATTTTGGCAAAGTAAAAAAAGTGTGAAATTCATGCTTGTATAATATACAATTTATGCCATCAGAAAATAATATGAGATGTTTTTTCTTAATTACTTTTCACAGATATTACCAACTTGCTCATTTAAGGAAACTGCAATTCAGTTTCTGAAGAAAACAACGTTAATGAAACATGACCATTTTAAAAACGTGATTCCGTCACGAGGTCTTTTTATTTTTCAAAAGTCATTTGTTAATATTTTTCAAATTTTCTTTTTGCCTTTCTATAGCGTGTTATCTATTTTGTAATTTCCTTAAAGGACGTCTTTTGTTCTCAGGGTGTGTGTTAGCGTTAGTGATGGATCACACTAACGCTAAACGATGATTAATATGCGCCTTCTAGTATAACTGGCTTATGACAACTGCCCGAATAGCAGGAGGTGTGGGTTCGATTCCCACGAAGGTCATCTTTTTCATCGTTCTGTCACATAATATCAGTGACACTGCTTGTCTCTTTCGTTCTATACATATGTAAGCTAACAGTGTGGGTGTAGGTGTGTAGGAAGCTCTCACAACGCGTTTTGATCCAGCTTAATGGATCTCATCAGGTGGCTTAAGACCTTCAGTTCGATTCAACATCTCGAAAGAGTAGAATCAAGTCAAGATCGATTTACTCTGTTCAATTCGAAAGTCGAATGGTAAATGAGGTTTAGAAGGATGTGGCTGTTGATCTTCCTTTCATTCATACCGACACCCACACGGTGTGGGTGTGGGCCACACCCACACCCTCACACCCACATCCACATCCACAAAGAAAAACTGGAATTTTCAAATGTGCTCGTCATGCTATTGTCCAACAAGCAGTACCCGATCTATCGTAAATGTCTCAAAAACATGTGCACACGAGCCATTTATGAGAGCTTCGAATTTCATGCACGAGCAGGCAGCGTTTTTAAAATGTTCGCATTTGCGCACAAGGAACAATTGTATGTATCATATGAACTCTTTTGTAGAGAGGCTACGCGTATATACCCAAGACAATTTTAGAATGATCAAAAACCTAAGCTCATGTAGTAAGCATACACGAACACGCAGACTTTTTCAGAGATAAGGTTGGAACATATATGCTTCGTTTTATAGATGAATTTCCGCACTGCTCGAGTATCTACCTACATATGAAACACAATCAAAACTGACGAATGTAAGGATCATTTGATAACTACTACATACGTGTGAACATGAATAGTAATAATTATAGGCGAATTCGAACAACTAGGATGTAGTTGTGGGTGTTGCTCTGCTCGTAATGTACCCACAGCTGCATTCTGGTGAGGTTGATCGAGATACTTGCTAGTATTTTGCAGTTTTAGTTGAACGTCATGACGCTGCAATGCTCGCACCGATTTTTCATCAATATATTCGTCCTGGTACTATCATCTACAGCGATCAATCGGGGGTCAACAACAGCATTACAAATTGCGCTCATCAATATACTCACCAGACGGTCAACCATTGATTGAATTTTCTTCATCTGAATAGTTTGATACACACAAAAAAATCGAAAAACATGTGGATGTGCATGAAAAGAAAATTTGAATGCGTCAACATATTACTCTCCTCGGTACTCATCTCACTGAGTTTATGTGATGTCAGCATTTTGACGCTAGTCTTTTTGAAAATATTGTTCGTGCTATTCAAGAGGAAATATCCTGTTCAGTAAATCTCTTTTAGTGTTATTTGTTTTTCAATAAATTCCATGCACAGCAATTCACGCCATCTTGAAAAGAAACATTTCGATTGATAGAGTAAACGATCGAATAATCTTTTTTTCTTCTTTTCTTTCTTTCGTTCTGTATAGATAAATGATGTGGATGTGTTTATCATGTAGAAGTATCCTAGTTTTACTCTTATTATAGCGAATTTCTGTTTTGAGAGACAAAATGTCTGATAGCAGTTCGTCTACTGACAATGCCATTTTATCTAAAGCCTTTGTTGTGCATGGAGTCAATGGTCAATTTCAATTGTGGGATTTACCTCGACGTCCTATAAATCCCGACGATGTTCTCATTCGAATTTTCTATTGCGGCATGTGTCATGGGTAAGACTCTCGTTCTGTTTTCTGTTAATTTTAAACAATCTCTTAGTGATATTCATGCGGTAAAAAATGAGTGGAAGAATAGCAAGTATCCGATGGTACCCGGCCATGAAATAGTCGGCATTGTCGAAAGAGTAGGTAATCAAGTAACAAAAGTCAAGCAGGGCGATCATGTTGGAGTTGGATTCATTGTTAATTCCTGTCGTCAATGCAATCAATGTAAATATTTTTCTTTCATTGATGAAGTTCATTCTAATATTTCTGTAGGCAAGACGAATCTCGAGCAACATTGCACTGAAGGTTGTGCTGGAACATTTAACAGTACCGAAATGGACAGAAAAACGACAACATATGGAGGTATGCCAATTATCGATGACAGTTACAGTCAATTAAAACCTCTTATTTTGATTATTCTGTACTCGTACAAATCAATATTTCCATAATGATGAGGAAATAGTTCTTGTTCTACGTAGTATTTTAAATTAGAACGGACTTTTTTAATATCAATTTCGAAGTTCTCTCGTTCAACGAATAAACATATGAGTGGAAAATATATGAAAATAGATTTGACTGATGAAAAAGTTATTGTTAATGAACCGGTTCATATTCGATTATCAGTTAACCGATCTTAACGTCGAAAAGAAAATGGCAAAGATCTCGTTGATCTGCGTCCAAGCAGTAAACATTCTTTTCTATGAATATAAAGACTAATGCGCTGTATAATCAATACTTTTTTTGAGATCCTTTTTATCATGAATGGTAGAGAAGTTCATTTATATCTTCTTCTTGGCAGGTTATTCAAATTTTATTGTCGTGGTTGAACATTTTGTATTGAAAATTCCCAAAAATTTGTCTTTGGATAAAGTGGCACCACTTCTTTGTGCCGGTATTACTATCTATTCTGCTCTTCGTCAACACAACATTGACAAAGATACTCGAATGTGGTAAGTGACTATAGTCCAGCGATTTCCGGGATATGAAGTAATATTCTCGCTAGTGTTGTCGGTTTCGGCGGCTTAGGACATCTAGCTGTCAAATACGGCGCAGCAATGGGTGCTGATGTTACGGTCTTCTCAACTTCAAAATCAAAACGTGATGATGCAATTAAATTTGGTGCAAAACAATTTATCTTGTCTACAGATTTTGAGCAAATCAATGTGACTTCGAATAAATTTGATTTTATCATTGATTGCGTTTCGGCGAAACATGATCTTATCCATATATTGAGTACTTTAAGATTCGGTGGTATTTTCTGCATGTGAGTATACAAGATTTAGAAGAAGTTCTTTGCAAACATACTTCTTTTCTATAGGATTGGAGCACCACCAACACCGCTTGAAGTTCCGCCATTTTCTCTAATTCAAAAACGGTTGAACGTAACAGGTTCTTTCATTGGAGGAATGAAAGAAACGCAAGAAATGCTGGAGTTTAGTGGTCAACACAATATAACATGTAAGAATATCATTTTTGACTCTTGTTTCAGCTAGTTTTCATCGAATATACAGACAATGAGAATACAGATAGGTCACATGAGCAATGATTTTCAGATCGAACGCAAATAAGCAGAATTTACCAAATTAGATGTAGTAGATGATTTTGGTGATATTAAGGTTTTATTTAGTTGGATAAAATAGAAAAAAAATATTCTGTGTCTCAAAATGAAACTGTAAGTTTTTCTTTGTGTCGTAAATTCGACAACGAATGCTCATTGGATCAAGTTTGAAAAGTTCGACAAGATTTTCTTTATGAACTACTAATTAAAAACTGATCTCATTCATTTTAGACCTTTTCTACAAATCATCATGTGAGCTCTCGTATGAAAAGTATTTCAGAAAACGCACATGTAATCATGTAGATGTTTTTTATTGTAAAATATTTCAAAATTCGGAAATCAATTTAATTAAACTTTTTGAATAAACAGATAAGTTACATGAAAAAGGAAGTTTACACTTTAGGAAACAGAAAAAAATTGTTTCGTTGACAAAATCGAATCTGTTACTTATCTTGATTGATTCATGTTTTAGGTGACGTTGAGTTGATTGAAGGATCATCCTCGAATCTTGACACGGCATTCAATCGAATACTTAACTCGGATGTCAAATATCGATTTGTCATTGATATGGAAAAAACGTTCAAACAATGAGTATACTTACTCAATGTTCAATAATCCAAAAAAAACAATTTATGAATTTCTTTTACTTAATTATTTAATAAAATATCTTTATGCATTGCTAAAGCAGAGATACAATCGAATAGGATCAACGAACAGAAAAAAAACAAAAGTGTCATGATTTTCACTTCATGAAACGACTTCTCCATTAGATAAATGGTCTTTTCAAGGTTTATCATGTTATGCTGCTTTATTGTTGGTTAACTAAAGTTTTTTTTCTTCTGAATTGATCGATGAGGAGAAATTTTCAGACTGATCAATTAATGGATTTTTTAAATATCAATAACTCAAGATGGTCCAATAATGTCAACTCTATATTAGACGCGGCTCACTTCGTTGCTTGGTCGTAGACGGTGCTCAGGTATTTGCGAGTGATCTAGAGAGTTCGACATCAGCGTTCATTAGAAAAGAAAAAAGTTTCATTAAAAACGGCAGACTGATGTCAACGATAGTTAAAGCTCAATAATTTACGAAAACTTTGAATAAAAGACACCTAATTCTTCATTTGACGGATAGGGTGGATGTAGCTTTATATTTGCTTTCCACCGAAACCTACACTCTAGAAATTCCGATAAGTATACAAATAAACTTTTCTCAGACTATAATTAGTTAATAGTTTTGCTGAAATTTTATAGAATTATTATAGATATATTTCACTCAATAAAATGGAGAAAATAATTATATCCTAAAAGAAAAGACGTAACCTCAGATATGGCT